ATGCTACAATGACCTTCAAGATCTCAGCTCCTTTGAATGCATTTATGGTCTCTCCTCTCCCTGCTTGTTCCAGCCATACTCACTTTCTACTGTTTCCCTAGTAAAGTGTCTGCCCCTCTGGTATGGTCTTTCCCTAGATACACGGAAGGTATGTTCCCGCTAGGACTTTCATGAATACTCCAATTACCTGGCACTCTCAATTTTCATTTCTAAGCTAGTTTTTTTTTTTCTGAAAGAAACTGACATATTTTGCATTTTACCTACTAGTTTGTACTTTGCTCTACAATGATGCAAACTACTCCAGGGCAGGACCAAGAGAGGACATACTTCCAAAAAATACCTGTTCATTGACTAAAGGAATAATAATGGAAAGAAAGTGTTTTCCTCCATTTTAGAATTAGTTTCCTTGCCACTTCCTGGACCTCAGCTTTCATTTCTTTATTTTTGTGAGATTTAAATGAAGGCATTTGTTTAAAAAATGCAAAATGGCGGGGTGGGGGTAGGGATGGGGGGAGAGCAAGGAGCCATAAATCTTACTGAGGAAAGCAAGAAGCAAAGCAGTATGGGAAATACAGAACAAAAGGAAGAATCTCCAGGCTTAGCTGCTATGCCTTTAAAGCCAGCACTTAGATAACAGCGAGTTCCAGGGCAGCCTGCTTTACATAGCAAGTTCCAGGCCAGGCAGTGCTATATAGTGAGACCCTATCTCAAAAACCAAAAACAAACAAATAAACACTCCAAGCAAACAAACAAACAAACAAACAAAAACTAAAAAATAAACAAACAAAAATGAAAACAAAACAGATACCACAGTAAAACCCAAAGCAAATAAAAACAAAAACAAGTATTTTATCCTCACAGAAGGAAGACCTAAGAAAGAGAAGAGGTCCTGGGATATTCTTTTTGAATACGGCTTCACCTCATCTACAGAGGCTGCTAGATAGTCCTATTATTGCCCTGTTACAATTTTGCTGTGCTTTCTGTCTTACTACCACATGGAATCCAAGGCAGCTTTGGGCACTTATTTCTGTAAATAAACATGGTAGCTCAAGTTTACATGAACTGTGATGGACAGAACCACACACACACACACACACACACACACACACACACACACACACACACACACACACACACACACACACAGAGAGAGAGAGGCCCAAAACCTTTCCAGTTAACCTGCTATGATTTTCTCGGGCAGAAGATCTTTTGGATTCCCAAAATTAACAGTGGGATAAAGAGTCAATTCTCTTTGGTCTTAAACTACAGCAAAACTCAAGTGATCATCACCATGGAGGACAGAGCTCTCAGTAATCCTGGTAGTGTCCAGGCTGTCTGGATTCTCTGCTCAGTTAATCTTCCCTAGCAAAGATTAAGTGCAGTGTGTATTCAAAGATAGACAGCTATGCCCCAGGCAGGAGAACCAACAGAAGTGGGCCCATTCCACACCCTAATTCTTTAGTACAGAAACAGGCAATATTTGTGACTGGCCAGGAAGGCAGAGGCAGAAAAAAACTACACGTGCTATACTACTTCTTGTTAAGCCAGTTTCCTGACACATGTGACTGGTGATTAATTACTTGTTAGAAGATAACATTTCTATAGCGAGTCACTGGAAATATACATGCCATTGGTCATGCTTGATTAGACACTGCTTGAGGGCTGCCGAGGCACACTGCTCCAGTCTGTTAATTCTGGCTGTTTCGGTATTTATTTTACACAGCCTCAAATTTGGTAGAATTGATGGAGCCCATTTCAGAAAATCAACCCTACCTCAAAAAGGAGGGGAAAAATAAGGCTATAAAATATGTGCACATGAGAACAAGAGCAAAAATAAGAAAGAAAGAGACCATGGACTGGCAGTGCTACATTACTACTTTTGGTAACATCTTCTGCTTTATAAAACTGAGAGACACTCTTATTTCTTATGAGTGGATAGAAAGTTGGCTGTACTTGCTGATTAAATCTTTCAGGGCAGAGCCCCTAACTGGTCATCTTACAAACTCTTCATTGGCCTTGATTTGGCATCTACTTAAATTTCCCACCACATCCAGTGCTCATTTACTCTGTTCCAAGCACTGAGGAAACAGTGTGAAACTTCCCATTGAGTAAGGAGAGGTGGTCTCTGAACCATCTGGAGCCCAGAATCCATGCTACACGTTCATACCAGCCTGCATAATCCATTACAGAATACGGGTAACAAGAGGCATACCCATCCCTGGTGATCATGTTCACCTTTTACCTACTCCTTGGATGTAATTCAGAAACCCGACTGTGAAAGGCATGACTGTGTTGCCATTCAATCATACCCTGCAGAAACCCTTCACTGGAACACGGCCCACTGATGCCGATTTCAGTGTTTCATGATGCAGACGCTGCTTTTCAGTAAGTGTTTGGGCCCCATACTGTCTGCCAAGAACTGTGTTAATTTACTTATTTCAGCTAAATAAAAAAAATCATTTAAAAAAGGATGATTGAATTTAGGAATTATATTCCTCAGAGAATTAGTAATGGCTCTTTGTATCCCTCAGGCCTCCATGTTCTTAACTTCCCCTTGTCAATGTTATTATGGATAGACTAATTCAATAATGAGATCATTTCCCCTAAGAGTGGCCAAATAAATGCAGCATTCAGTCACACCTGGTTTCCCTAATCTGAACAAGGAAGGCTTTCCACCAAATTTATCCTAAAACATGGAATTTAATAACACACACACACACTTTCCTGAAAATATAGGGGAAGAGAGAATCAGAGAAGCAAATGGTTAGCAATACAACAAATAGATTAGAGAAGAAAAGTTAAAAAAGAATCAATGTGGGTCACTTTCAAAGCAAAGAGCCCCCAATATAAATGTCTTTTATCATATGGTACTGTATAATTCTCTTAAATATTCAAAAAGTCTTTCAATTTTTCCTGAACTTAGTGGAAAGAAAAAGAAGTCACAAATAAGTAGAAACATTCTAGATTATTAAAAACAAACATTTCCCTAGCTAAAATGGTTTTGGAAATGAAGTTTATGAGATAATTCACCTAACCGTATAACAGAGCATGGTGGAAGGATGGGAGGAGTTGCTAATGTACTGTCATCACATTCTACAAAACAGTTGAACTGTCAGTAAAGCACCAAAAGTTGGATTATTTAATATACAATGTGGAGATCAAATGAAGTAAAATAAAGTTAACCCTACCATTTGAAAAAGTGTCTTAAAAGAGAACATTAAGAAGGAGGAGTGATAAGCAAAGGAGTAAAGACCAGGCTGGAGAAACCCACAGAAACAGCTGACCTGAACAAGGGGGACTGATAGCTGGGGAACCAGCATAGGACTGTTCCAGACTCCCTGAACATGGGTGTCAGTTTGGCGGTCTGGTTAATCTATGGAGCCTCTGGGTAGTGGATCAGTATTTATCCTTAGTACACTGAATAGACTTTGGGAACTCACTCCACATAGAGGGATATTCTCTCAGCCTAGACATGTGTGATGCGGGTGGGGAGGGCCTAGGCCCTGCTCCAAATGACATGATAGACTTTGAAGATCCCCCATGGAAGGCCTCACCCTCTCTGGGGAGCAGAAAGAGGATAGGACAGAAGGTTGGTGGGGGGCAGGGGAGGAGGAGAGCGAGAGGGACCTGGGATTGACATGTAAAACAAGCTTGTTTCTAATTTAAATTTAAAAAAAGAAAAAAAGAAAAGAAATGGTACAAGGAAACCTTGGGAAGAAAAAGGGTAATGACTCCTTTCCCAGCTGGAAGAAAATTGGACAGGTTTCAAATGGGTCAAAGTAGAAGCAGTGTCAGAATAGGCACATGTAAAGCTAACTTCAGTGCTTGTTTACAATTGGAGAAACAAAATGCAAAAATGCTGACATTCAAAGTAACTAGAAAACAAATTTCAGTTAATGTATAACCATGGATTTGCTCACTTATTGAAAGCAATACTTCCCAGAAGCATTAGTATTTGAAAAACCATGTTTTCAAAGAGTTCTATTGATATGGGAAAATGCAATGAATACATTTAAAGTTACATTAACATAGTTACAATTTTGTAAAAAGAGAAATCTTATGCATGCATGTGTGTGAAAAGTCACATACTTTTGAACTGTATACATGTACTCAATGCACATGTGCTCAAAGCCAGGAGAGGCAGACCAAATATCACTGTCTCTAGGCCAAAGGTTTACCTTGTGAAACGTGCATATCCTACTCTTACTCAGAAAAAGTCATGAATAGTTAATAGCATGAGAAACTCAAGTTTGAGGCCAGTGAGACAGCTCAACAGTAAAGACACTTGTCACCAAGACTGATGACCTGATTTCAATCCTAGAACCTACATGGCGCAAGGAGAGAACCACAAGTTGTCCTCTGCTCTGTCTCACACACTCTATGCCATCCACTCCCCTACCCCAACCTTGTCACAAAATAAAAGAGAAAATGTTTAAAAGTAGGATTTAGGTTAAGCAGTGGGAAAACTACTGTCTAGAGGGATGTTAAACTTTGCATAGAGTTTTGCAGAATTACTATCTCTGTCACTTAAGAACATTGCCTTCTTTTCTTCTTTTCGTGTGTGTGTGTGTGTGTGTGTGTGTGTATGATAGGAATGCATATGAGTATGCGTGTTCAAATGGATATGTGTGTGCTTACATGTGGAGGCCTGAAGTTTGTGTCAGACAGCTTCCTGTCATTCTTCTACCTTATTCATGGACCAAACCCAGGTCTTGGTCTGGGGAATCTTAGTCTCTTACTTCCTAGGCTGGAATTACAGGGGACTGCCATACCCACTCACATGACATATACTTGGATTCTGAAGATTTGAACTCTGGTCGTCTTGCTTGCACAAATACTTTAACTGCCGAACTATTTCTCCAGGCACATTTCTTTCTTTTTTAAAAATAAGGGTTTTTGTTGATGTTGTTGTTTTGTTTTTGTTTTTTTTTTTACAGTGACAAGCTCATTACAAGCAATGAGCTTCAGTGTAAGAAACCTAGCCCAATATTCCCTTATACCTTGCAAAATCCAAGTCTGCCTCCCGTGACATAGTGATGTTGGTCAGATTCTGCTGAAGAACAAAAATGTTCCTACACATTTTCTTGATGCCAGACTCACTGATGCGTCGGAAGTACTGGGCCCCATTAATGAGGATGCAGGAGATGAGGTGTCCCAGACCTGAGGGGTCAGAACAGTGTAGTGAGGAGACAAGAAAAATATATTAGTGGCATCTGGCTTAAACTTATACATAGCATTGTTCTTTTTCATCCCCCACTGGTTTAAACGACTCAAGAAAACATATATCCCAGTTGCAACAGCTAATCTTATAATAATTGTATAATATTTCTATATTGTTTTAGTAGTTGCAAATGGGAAACTTAATATGGTCAGGTAAACTTGGTATATTCACAGTCAAGCACTTAATACTTACCTGAAGCCACCACCCATAAAAGCATCCATCAGGGCGCTATAAGCTACTGACATACAAAGGAACTGTACTGTGTATGCAGATATTTGGAGAGATCTGTTTGGTCTCTACTACTCATGAAACAGAGGAGGGTACACATTTGTCTTTGAACATAACTGGGAGCCTACATATATAACAATAAGTCAGCCCTAAGATGAGCACTCTGAACAATAATGCTAATATTTAGCTTTCTATCACATTAGCTGCCGTCCAGTAACTTGCTAAAATAACAAAGCAAAGGGAAAGAGGAGGGGCACTCGCTGTATGTTCTCTAACCCTTTTAGGTAACATGGAGCTGGCTCCTTTGGCCACATACAGACAAATTTACAAGGGTGACATTGTAGACTTCAAGAGAATGGACACTGTTCACAAAAGAAGGCCCCGTGTCACCACAGCAAAACCAGAAGAGTTTTCTGCAATGTCACCCAGCATGCCATGGGCATCATCATTGTGAACAGCAAGCTAAAGGCAAGACTTTTGCCAAGAGGATTAGCGTGCAGATAGAGCACATGGAGCACTCTAAGAGCAGAGACAGCTTCCTGAAGTGGGTGAAGGAAAACGATCAGGAGAAAATGGAAGACCCCAAAGAGAGGGTGCCTGGGGTCAGCTGAAGCACTGGCCTGCTTCACCCAGAGAGGCACACTTTGTGAGGCCTAACAGAAAGGAGCCTGAGCTGCTGGAGCCCATTACAGATGAATTTATGGCCTAATATAAAAAAAAATAAGGATCTGGACTGTAGACAAATAACAACAATGCTAATATTTAAAAAGAATCAATCGATAAAATATGGGCTCCTGATAACAATGCTGAAGGATTTCAATGTTGGCAATAGGATGGATGTGTAGCACAGTACATGTGTTTTTGAGACAGGATCTCACATATTTGGGGCTGGCCTCCACCTCTCATGCTGGGATTACAGGCATGTGTTAGCATGCTGAGTGCATTTATATGATGCTTGGGGTTGATCTAAGGATGTTTTTGTGTACACTAGGCCAAATACTGAGCCAAATTTCGAGCCCTTAAGAACTCCTTTATAGTCTATGAAATTTGGCAGAGGCCATCCGAGGATGTCAATAAACTACAAGGACTCCTTTTGTCTCTTTGGTTGTGAATCTAGCCTTTAATGACTGAGCCACCTTTCTAGCCCCAGGACCCCTTTTGGATAGCAATACTTAGGCCGAGGAATGATGGATGGTTCAATACAACATAAAGTAATACAGGTCACTACCTTTAAGAGGCAGATTTAATTTTAAATATTTCTTCATTCAGACTGCCCCATTTTCGCAGAGTTAGCCTCTAGCAGGGCATTTTCCTCAGAACTCTAGAACCACCCCAGGTAGTACACTGTTACTGTTATCTTCCTTCCTAGAGCCTCAGTCCCTTCATGGCAACTAGACTTAGACCAACGAACAGTGCACATCTCGGGTTCAATGGCTTACTCCAGCTTCACAATGAGTTTCTCCTCAGCTGAGACCAAAGTAGAAGAGGCCAAGGACAAGGTATTCTCTCTTGCTTTAGCTCTTCTCAAACCCGTATTTCTTCTAAACCACAGACTTGTGCTTTTTACAGTAAAGAAAGAGGTTTGGGCTCAAAGGAAAAGAAACACAACATGGACCTGTTATTTAAGCTGGAAAAACCTTTCCAAGTTAAGGTCTGGTCTGCCATGGTAGACTACAGTGTGATGAGAGTGTAGGCCTCTTCTCTTTATAGCTTAATTATTTTGTGTACTGTATTATAGAGAAAAGGTCTTATGGTAGAATCCAGCATCACAAATTATTTGGCCTGCATCATATTTTTTAAAAGTACGAAGGCAAATATTTCCAGGTAATATTGCCTCCCGCAGCCCTCCTGATGGAGGCAGCTGAAAGAGGGCCCTGATGGAAGCGGCTGCCCAAGTTCCTGCAGAGTCTGTTCACTTCAGGGAGTAACGCATTCTGTGAGAGAAACTTCCCCCTCCAGGCACTGAGTGACCAGAGAAAGATTTCCCAGAGTCCCTGTCTCACTGACTCCGTATGTGTGAACTTTATCGTTTCCTCTCCTACCGTTCTTTCTTTAAATGAGCTCTTCTCAAGTTAATTTGTGGGCCATTATATACATCTGCCCAAATCTCAGTGGCATACATGTCCAGGCAGACAGAGGATAGACATCTGCATTATCTTTAATAAAACTCTCCTATCAGCAGGAGCAGGGGGCACCTCAATCTATTCATACTTCTAAACACACCACTAAGTCACCTTTCCTTACAAGTTTTGAATATCTATCATATAGAACTTCACGAACACCTTCACCCCCCCGCCATGCTCCTAGATACAAGAAGTAAGCTCTGACCTTCAAAGATGTACTGGAACTTGTGCTGCTGAAGGCTGGCGCTCATGGCCTCTTCCATGGCACTGATGTCTTTGTTGAGCTTGACCACCAGAGGGTCATAATCCATACTTTCCACGTTGGCCACGATGGCATAATTCCCCTCCTTGGCCAGAGGGATGAGGTAGTGGAAACAATGCACTCTGAAAGAGAGTGGGACGGGAAGAGCAAATCAAAATGAGAACTCCCCACGAAGACAAGGGGCTGCTGGGAAAGAGCATCAAAGTAGCAGAAGCAGCTGTGACTTGTGCGTTTCTACATATACCTCCCATTAGTCCTTTTTGTTTTGTTTTGTAACAAAAATGTCATCTTAACTGTCCAGCAAGCGGGCATCTATGAGGTGCACCCATTTAGTACATACACTCTTGGTAAGAAATAGAAGACTTCTGAAATTCTTGCAATACCAAGACTGTGTGCACAGTATGAGCCAGGGATGTCTTTCAAAAGATATTGTTATGATGACAATGAGGCTGAATTTCCACCCTCAAAGCTATGCTATTGTGGGAGACCACTGATATTTGTTTCCCAGTTTTGTCACAGCTATGTAACTTTAGGAAAGGTACTGGAGTCTTTCTATGACTCAGTTTCCCTTGAAACAGGGACAATAATAACTCCTGCCTCAAAGGGCCATGCAAAGCATATAACACAGAGCCAGATGTGAAGGACACACACAGTAAGAATTGACAACTATCACTAGTATTATAATAACCATTGCTAATTTATTATGTGACTAAGTCGCCTATTGAACATGTTTAAAATGGCTGCAAACTATGCTACAACCTGGAACTGTAAGACAGTTTTTGCAGCATCGATGACTCCAAAGCTTATTGGGGCAGAATAATGAAAATGCCTAAAAGAATGGACTAGAGAGATGGCTCGGTGGTTAAGAACACTTGTGACTCCTACAAAGGACCTGGGCTCAGTTCCCAGCACCTACACATTGGCTCACAACCATCCATAACTACAGTTCTTCATCCTCAACTTGACTAGGAGATATACCTCTGAGAAGAAATTGAGGGTATTTTTAAAGACGTTTAACTGCAAGGGCAGAATATAGGTGGCACCATTCCATGTATTTGTGTTCCAGGCTGAATAAAAAGGGAAAAAATGGGGCACCACTCTTCATCTCTCATTATGTTTCCTGACTGCAGATGCAGTGTGATCAGACACCTCATGTACTTGCTACAGTGCCTTCCTGTTCATGTCAGATTATATTCCTTCAAACTGTAAGCTGAAATAACCCATTTTTTTTGAGTTGCTTCCACCTTTATGTAAATGTAAATTTTCATTTCTCTTAAGCAATTACACAGAAGTAGGCTTCGCTGAGTCAGAGGTAAGGATACCTCCAGCTTTGGAAGAAACAAACTACCATGTTAATGAGCTGTGCTCCTACTAGCAATGCATGCGTATTCTAGTCACTCTGTATTCTCACCAGCACTCGGTGTGTCAGTTAAAAAGAATTTGATTTTTTGGTCATGTATATGCATTATATAGTATCTCATAGTGGTTTTAATTTGCATCTTTCTAAAGAGTAATTATGCTGGACTTTTTCGTATAGTTATTTCTACTCATCGACTGTGACATAGTGGGACATGGCAGTAAAATGTTATCCCAGGCTTTATAGGCCAGCTAAGGAATGTGAATTTTATGTCAGAAGGTTTAGGGAAAATTAAGAGAACTTTATAGATTAATTAAGAATTAAAAACTTTTAAGTATATGTGTGAGGCTCCCAAAAAAGCCAGATGTCTTATCGGGTACGGACGCTGAGAACTGAACCTGGGTCCTTTGTAGACACTATATCAATAAGCCATTTCTTCAGCCCCAAGAGCAGTAAAACAATAAAGTCAAATACTAGCTTTGGCACAAAGAGAGTGGAATGATGGTAAGCATGGAGATGTATAGCAGAGATAGGCTTCTGAAGACTCTGGAACACTGGAGGTTCATGAGATTCTGCAGCGGGAGGCAGAGAGGAGAGACAGTGCTATTTTATTTTCCCAAATGATCAGAAGAAATTGTCACTGGTGAATATCAAACTCAACAGTCTTATTTTTCTCTGGGCTCTGGTGTGTGGTTGCTGACCTTCGCCTGACTTTGGCATTAAGGTTTTCTGCAAACATTGCTGATTGCACAGCAGGATGGTTGATTTTCAGAAAGTGCACACTTAGGATCCCATTGGTGACAGGCAGTTGCTGCCGAACCCACTTAGAGCCCTCCTGATGGTAAGGGAAATCAGCTGATAAAGGTGACATTCTTGGCATTGTGGATTCAAATGGCAACTTCATTTCCTTTTTCTAAAGTTCAAATATCAACAACTTTTAATGGTCTCACCATGTCTTACACTCCTAGGAGGGGGGTGTCATCTGCTTTCTGTCTCAAACTATGGAAAGATAGCACATGGTGGTTAAATGTAATCTACAATGACATGGGTAAAATGTCAAATGCTCTTTGGATGGGTTCTTCAGCACAGAACCTGTTGGAGTTGAGAACATTTCTTTTTTTTTTTTTTTGCTTTGAACTTTAACAGTGTTGAATAAAAATATGGGCTTTGGCTATAAAGATGTTTTGGGAGTAAGACCAGGTTTGGCATTTGAAGTTCTTCTGGAGTTTTGCTAGCAAATCCATTAATATATTTCCCATGGTGGTTTTCATTTTTCTTTGGCTCCTATTGCAGTGTTTTCAAGGTTATAAGTACCAGAGAAAGCATTACTTTTCATCATGCCAGCTCCTGGACAGGACCTCAGTTATAACTCATTCACAATAGGATAGGGATAAAACAAGCATTAGTGAATTATCAGAATAAGGATAAGGTTGCTCACACACCCTCCATGCTGGTTTGAATGAGCAACATCCCACACAGGCTTGGTACACGGTGTTGCTATTTGGGGAGGTTATGGACTCTTTGGGGGCTGGCACTTGCTGGAAGTCAGTTACTGGTGGAAGGCTTCCCACCATTTTCTTTTCTGTGTCCTATGTGTAGATGAGGTGTTATCTTTCCGGCCATGACAAACTGGAACAGTAAGCTGAACCGAACTCTTCTTTCTTAAGATGCTTTTGGTCATGGCATTTTGTCGCACCAATGGAGAAATGATTAATGCACCCTCTGTACTTGCAGACGCACATGGTTGACTTGCAAGTGGGCTATCATGTGAAAATTCAATTTGGAAAGCAACTCATTTGCTTTCAAGAACACAAGTTTTATTTAGGAGAACAGAGCTTTTCTTTTCTTTTAAATTTGGATTTGGTTTAAAGCCAGCTCATTCTTAAGAAGAAATCATATAGGGATCAAGACTGACTCAATTTCTGGGACCATTTATAACAACGAACAGGACACACCAGAAGAGTGAGTAGTCTCTTCCACAACCTTGCACTATGGGTCTCCACAGTATCTGGCAGTTGCTTTTGGTATAACACTAACACCCTACCAATGTGATGATTAGCATGACATCTGTTTTATTTTATATCCTCACCACTGTTCCCCCTACCTCTACTGGCAATGTGATAGGACAGAAGAGAGTGTGTTAACACTCACCATCTCAGCCATGCATGGAGAAATCTGTTTTGTGAACCACATATTAAGAATATGGACAAAATGGAGACACATTCATAGAAAACAAAGTTAATGTTGGAACCATGTTATAAGAAGAAATTTTAAAAATTAATTTTAGAAAAACTATGCTTAGTTTCTCAACCTAAAGGAAAAACAATCCTCTATCCAGAGCACTACACTGAGACTGAAATTACCCTTTCCTGTTTTTGAATGAATACTGAAGGAGGCATGGACATGAATATTGCAATTGTGTGATATCTTATAAAGTTGACAAAGCATGTTTGGCATTGTAAGAAAAGTACTGCTAAGAAGTATAAACATAAAAAAGACAGGACAGAGGTTAAGGATTTCATAGATCTAACTCAAACGTGCTGAAAACATCCCGCCTGGAATTATCCACACACAAGTCGCTGATTCTGAATGTAGAACATGTCCTGAGACTGCACAATCAATAGCATAAATTCTAGCAGTTGTGAGAGTAATTAATTTGCTGTTCTCTTGTTTTGCTTTGCAATCCAGGGTAACAGCAGCCTCAAAATATTACTGGATATTTTTCTTCTTTCTTTCTTCCTTGTATGTCCACTGCATTTATCTATTCATTGAAAATGCCTGCTTTCTTTCATTATCAGTTTGGAAATAAATAGAAAACAAATCCAAAAATTATCGTAAAACAAATCAGAGATCACACAGCAAGATGCTGTATTTCTGGACAAGTTAATGTAAGAAATAAACCAGGAATAATGCTGAGCCCAACACCTCCCAAACCTGCAGGCTCCTCCTTTTGTTCCATGGGTGCTAACAAGCATCAGAGAAGTAGCTCACTGGGGGAAACAGAAGAATGCCAAAAGCCAGTGGCATAAAAAGGAAGTGACAGTAGCATGCCTCAAAGCCATCCACGTTTTAACTGGAATCTCAATATATTCCAAACTCACTTTATATTTTTAAAACATAGATGTTATAGAAACTTCAAATGAAAAGAAAATATTTAATCAATTTTAATATTGTTCACAAAAAACATAGAAGAAAATACATTACACACCACACCAGGCTTCCTGATCCTGGGGTTTCAGAAGTCTATATTCAGTGATGTAGTTGGCATTGCTACCTAGATCTTAGAGAAGCTCCTCACAGTGAATACCTTGAGTCCTTGTTTTCTGAGCCTCTAGCCTACACCGCTGACCTTTCTCCTCCTTCAGTCTGTCCTGTTTTAGTTAGATGAGAACATGTACATCCAGGGTGATGTGACCATAGACAAATGCATAGTCCAGGATGCTTTCAAACTCTTAATGCTCCCATCTTGTTCTCTTCTGTATTTGTCTACTGGTGTCCACAGCTTTTGCATCTACAAATTCTAAGGCTCTGAACTGGTAGGTTTCTGTGAGTCTTTTTTCTCATTGCCAAGAAATCTTGAACCCAAAGTATCTAAAATGCTCTCAAGTAAGAGCATGCTATTCCAGGTTTGAGTTCTGGATTAAGGATGTTCAACCTGTACTGCAACTTTAAACGACTTATGTGGCTTGCATTTTCGGTTCATGTTATCTAAATAATAATAGCAGGGTATTATTATTTAAAATTATTAATTAGTTTATGTGTGTGAGCACACCCACAAGCTAACAAGTGTGGAGGTCAGAGGACAACTTTGGAGAGTCAGTCCTCTCCTTATACCATGTGGGTTCTAAGGATTATACTCAAGACATCAGACTTGGTGGCAAGTGGCTTAACCCTCTGAGCCACCCTGTTGGCCTCTCATTTTACATTTTATCTATGATTATTTGAAAGTCTCTATTTGCCATGACTGGAAGGTATGGGGACTTGGAATATTTAGATCATTGCTATATCCCAATGTTTAGAGCACTGCCCGGTACAAAGATGACTGTTAAAGCTGGGCGTTGGTGGTGCACACCTTTAATCCCAGCACTTGGGAGGCAGAAGCAGGCAGATCTCTGTGAGTTCGAGGCTAGCCTGGTCTACAAAGCTACACTGAGAAACCCTGTCTTGAAAAACCAAAAAGATGCCTGATAAACTGCTCAACAATGGGGACAACTGAAGATGTTCTGCTTCTTCTTCTCTTTTGCAACTGTATTATAAACATATGCATATAAACAGTGTCTTCCTGCTGCAGGGGAAGGAAAACAGCATCCTTGAAACCCTACTCTTGGATTGTTCTTTTCCTTAATCTCCTCAATTGAGTTTTAAGTTGGTTGAAGGAGGACTTTGTGACTCTTGGATATAACTCCCTTTCTGATTTGCAAAAATATTAATGATGATAAAGTCCACACATTTTGACTTAATACATGACAGACCGGTACAAATTATTTAAGATTTCCTTCATAACATCTAAGGTAGAAACTGCTATTTTTATTTTAGGAGGAAACTGAAGCTTTGTAAAAATAACTAGCGATCTGACCCTCAGGCCACCTACATGGTTGGTGAGCACATGCAAATCCAGGCTGCGTCATAGGTCACAGCTCTCTTCAGTCACCACACTCACAGTCCAGCATATGCTCACTCCTTTAAGATCACTGAATACTATTAAGCATTGTGCTCACCACAAGAAATGGACAGCATCAACAGTAAAAACTGAAAATTACGGTGGCACTCCATGTACCCAGAGATAGCACCTGAGAGGGGCCCTGACACCACAATTTCCTGTGCTTAGTTGGGTCATACCTCACTTCTAGATGCAAGACAAGCAGGCAGCGGTCAGCCATATCCTGGAAGGACTTGGCAAGTTCACTCAGTGTCTGCATGATCTGTTCGGACACTGGCGGAAGGTCCATGTTCACATGGCTCTCTTGAGCAGGAGACAACACTGGAAGAAGAGGAGAGACGAAAAGCCATCATTTTATTATATATATCAGGTTTTCCCGGAATGTGTATTACTTATTTATCTTGCTGTTTTTTTCTACTTTGGCAGCACTGGGTTACTCTAGAGGTTGTAACACTTGTACTGAAGCTTACCATCTGGGGGATGAGATAGAGGGAGGTGGTTGTGGGCTGTATGCCTCTTTAGTTCACAAATAACCTATGACAGGCCCTAGCAGGCTTTTTTTTGTATGGTACTGGTATAGCTACTTTCTCTAACTTTCCAAAGAACTTCCTATCTTACTACAGAGATACTTGTGGATCCATATTTGTTGCTGCTGTATTTGCAGAATCCAGGATAGAATCACTCTGATGTCTATCAATGGATGGATAGATAATGAAAATGTGCTTAATTACACAATGGGATATTATTCAGCCATAAGGAAAATGAAATTATGAAATTCACAGGTAAATGAATGGAGTTGGAAATAACCATCCTGAGTGAGGAAACTCAGATCTAGAACAACAAATGTCGTATGTTTCTGCTCATATGCAGATGTTAGCTTTGAATCTTTAGGGAGGCATGCTTAAACTGGAGAACCCACAGAAGTTGGGAAACTAACAAGAGGCCATAAGGGGATTTCAAAGAAAGGAGAATAGAATGTGAGTGATATGAGGGTTGGACGAGGAATAGTGGAACAGGAGGGGCTAGGGCAGGAGGCGAGGGTAGAGAAGGGAGTATGGGGAAGGTTAACACTATAGTCCTTTAAAAACACTATACATAAACTTACTAATATAGAGACTTCACACACTCACACTCACACACACACACACACACACACACACACACACACACACGCACACACAGTTTCAATGGAGTTATGCTATAACAAGGGGTCAAAACTTCCTTCAGACACCATAGGCTATGAAATAAAAAGCCCAGTGCCAGATATTAGTTACCTCTTTTTGATCTGTTGGTCAATGTAGTCTCATACATGTTGCTAAATGTTACAGGCTCTTGGTTACTTGATGATAAGACCCTACTGCTGAAGATACTGTGTATCTGAATTATAGGGTATGAAGAAAAAGTAAAGCTGATAATGACCTGGGAATTTCATCCATATGACCAGAGTTCATAGTGCTAGAAGGTTCTGTCCAGGCTATGAAATGAGAAAACAATATCACTCAGTGAACCTTATAAGCTATAATAATGACTACCTGGCAAAACATATGAAACAGTGTAATAGTGGCAGGAATACCATAGGAGTAACCAACTACTTCCTGCTTGGAATGAAAGCCCATTCCACAAGATGGACCTCATTCCAAGTACCATTAACTGGGTCAAATCTTTGACTGGCTAAGTCATAGGCATAAAAAGAGAACATACTACTGTTTATATTCCGCTAACCAACATAGTAATATACATACTTAAGTTTTTAATCTTTATACTCATAAACCGATTCCCTGCTCACCCCTCATCATAGAAGCTTACTTTTGCAGTATATGGCAATTAACATAAAGACCCTCAACTGGTCAACATGTACAGATTCTGTGGAGTGCTCAGTTCTAAATGTCAGGATTGCTTCCCTGTCTAAAAACCCTTCCCTTTGTCAGAGAACTTGGGTGTTCAGGAAGAAACATTCCTGGACTAACTCCAGAAACAGGCAGTCAACAACTGCCCAAGCAGGGTCAAAATGGGACATCTATATCATATCCTTTTCTAGAAAGGTTTGGGGATCACTGAGGAAGAAGGCACGGAAGACTGTAGGAATCAGAGGGAGTAGATGTGCTTGCTGGGCATGGCAGCACAGCTGCACACATGAACGCACAGAGGCTAGGACTGTATGCACAAGAGTTGTGCAGGCTCAAATGCTCATGAAGTTCCACCTCAATCTGAAGAGCTGTTGGCACCTGATGGGTGTTTGGGGAGGGAAAGCCCGTTTTCTTTGTGTACATGGGCTCTGAGCAGCTACTCATCCTCCTGTACATGACCCTCCATCTAGCACATACGGGCATTACCTAGTGAACTAAAAGTATTAAAAATTTAAGATGAAAGGCGAGTGTACATCAAGTTGGGAGGGAAGAGAGGTGTGAGGATAAGTAAGACTTGGAGGGTAGATTTGATCTAAAGCATTATACGTATAGATGAATATTAAATAAAATATTAAAACACTTAACTAGATTCCTTAAGAAAACACTGAGCAGCTACAGTGGGAGTTTTGTCTACTTAAGCATCTAACAGTTTCTTGGAGGTCACCAAGAATACTTTGGCCACACTAGTCAAAACTTCTTTCGGCTCTCTGGACTCTCAACTGCTATACTTAGTCTTGTCTGTAACACAGAGCAAGAGCCAATCTCTTCAAACATCTCTGCTTAGTCTTTTGTGTAAAGTAGGGACAACTGTGTCACATAATAGTAAATGGGTTGACATAGGAAAATTACAATATTCACCATGAATTAACAGTATTCATCTAAGTTAGAAACATAGTCATTACTCTTCCTTAGTCTTTTCATTGTCCAAGTTAAATCTTTTTTGGTTTTTTGAGTATTGTTTTGGAGGCTGTCCTGGAACTCACTCTGTAGACCAGGCTGGTCTTGAACTCACAGAGATTCGCCTGCCTCTGCCTCTCGAGTGCTGGGATTAAAGGTGTGTGCCACCAACGCCCAGCCCAAGTTAAATCTTATTAATTACAGCCAGAAACAATCCCATCCACATCAAAGTTCAGGTTCAGTCACCTATACAGATTTTCTTCTTTGTCAGAGAAGCCTTTTCCCTGCTGGGGACATGGGTCCTTTGCAGAAGGGATTTATGGGCATGGAGCCCACCATAGGACCCACTGAGACATGACTAACTCACTTTAAAGGGCAGGAATCACCACCTGCCCAAGTAGTGTCTATGAGGATTACATCTTTTTCTGTACTATCCAGCCCAAGGGAGGGCCAGGAATGTGATCAGGCATTGTAACTTTTAAGGCTAGAGTTTCTTTTGGATCCATACCCTAAGAATTAAAACACCATCTCATGAGCATAAACAAGTGAATGCTATTTGAGGGAACTGACCTGTAAGGAGGAGAATATAGTCATGAAGATTTAAAATTCTAATAATCCCTGAACTATCCTAGCTGTTCACAAACTCAATCTGCTAGAGAGTGGACGTAAAACACTGCATTTCCTCTCAAATGTTAATGTTATTCATGTTGCTTTATGGCGAGGCAACATCACTGCCATCATAACGTTTCATGCAGCAGGGTAGATGAAAGCAACTTTAAGTAACATTATTATAATATTTCAGAGCACTTTAGGGCTTTTAAAGCTCTGAATTCATTTTGTATGTGACACAAACTCTGGGACACAGAATTATCTATACACATCAATGAGAAGAGGCAGGGATTACTCTGATATGAACTCATCCTCTCAAGCTCCCAAATACTATAACTGACCAAATACTACCAAAAATATTTTGGGTAAAATCCATTAAAAAGGTAGAAATCCCCCATTTATTATAGAAACAAATAACTTCACCCATGTGAAAACTGACCACTCTCAAACTATCAAAACAAAAATAAACACAAGAGAACCAAAACCCAAAACAGAAGAAGCAAATGGCAGGCTTGGCTGCCATGTAAAGCTTGCAAGGCCATGGTAGGAGCAGTGTGGAATAATGCAGAGGTGTGTATTGTGTCTGACTGTAGGGTATAGAAAAGCGATGGCATGATATTAAAGCAACATGATAACTTATATCTAGAGCTTCCCTGAAATGCTGGCTTGTAAATTCCTGAGAGCTTCCTGAAGTGTACGAAGCTTTCTTAAATGAGAAGGAATATAGAGCAAAGAAATGCTGAGCATGGCAAATACAACACAGAACAATTAACTGCCTCTTAAATGTTAAGTGACAGTGCTGATAGATTTTGTTTGTAGTTAAGAAATGAGATTACTGGACACTCCCACCCACACAGAATACCATACCACAGACCTTCACATCACACCCCCACACCTACACACTTAGTAAAAGGCGAAAGATGTATATGGTCTGAAGAGAAACCAGAGTGTGCACACGCACTATACTTAGCCACCCACTCAACTCATACACCTAAACCTACACGAGTGTGCATGTGCACCACACACACACACATACACACACACACACACACACACCTCTACACACATCCTTCTAGAGACTAAGTGATTATATATCTTAGAGGCTGCTATTCACTCTGCCACAGCCCCCATGTGTACTGAGCTTTTAAAATGTTAGTAATTGATCACTTCTTTAAGACATGCTGTTCTATGCCAAGGGAAGGCTGATACCTGATCATCTATAATGTAACCACTATATACAAGCATGCATTTTAAAAAATTTCTAGCTCACCCTCATGCTGAGGTTACTGGGGCTTTCTCTAGTAAATCCATTAGCCTAACAGGAAGGAGATGAAACCTAGTGTTCTCAAATACAGTTTCTTTGCTGAGACAATGAACAGGGCAATTTCACCTCCAGTATTCACTCTGGCAAGTGAAATGTTCACTATTCGAAGTCCTGGGGTCAGAGAAAGAAGTGTGTCACAGTCTGGTGAACCTTCCAGCAGAGTTCTGTGGAACCCCTCAGAGTCTACTGGTTTTTCTGATAAAAGGAGAGGGCCTAGGATGGTCCCACTTCTTTCTCCCCTACTCTGCCTCCTCCTGACTTGGGGAGGACAAGGCAAGAATCAGGTAGATGCTAGTATTATTAACTACTGGCCAGCACCAGCACTGACTTCAGACTTCTTGTCCTATCAGGAAAACAAACACTGTCTCAAAGCCCTGGAAATGAACAATAGCAGTGAGTAAGTAAGGTCTTGTGCATCCTAACATCATAGCCAGCTCACAAGCATTTCTCCTGTGCTTGCTTGTCTGCAATACACCAGCCATTCAACTTCACCTCAGAAATTCCTCCACTTTCCCCTTTGAAGGCCCTCAGCATGGACTGCAGAGCTGAGGCCTTGAGTCACCCTTTCACCAGAAGGTACAACT